ATAGTTTTTTTCCGGGGGGAAAAAAAAAATATTCCGGCCGGGGGGGGGGGGGGGGGGAGGGGAGGGATTGGCCTCGGCCCTGGGGGGAAAATTTTCCGTCCTCCTTTTTTGGGGACGGGGGGTCAACGGCCCAACAACAGTTAAGGTATGTATAACATGAGTACCGCCCGCGCGGCGCCTTTCCTACCTGGACATCGAAGACTCTCGACATTGCACCGCTTACGCCCCTCTCGCTGTCCCACCACTCTTCCTCCTGCCCCCCCCCCCCCGCCGCCGCCGCCGCCACTGCCGCCGCCTGTTCCTCTCTGTCCCTCTTGATCTGTCGGTCCACATAAGCCAGGGAGATGAACATATCCCCGAGGTCCATCTCGGCGGGGAATCTCACCTACACGTCTCACGTAGGAACCAAAACATCGTGTGGGGGTGTTGCCTGAAAATCGCTTCTGCCTAAAAACGGGTCGAGAGTTGGACTTGCGCCACACACAAGACACACACAGCGACAGGTAGCCGGTGCTGAGCAAGACGAGAATACGACAGCGCGCCAAACGGCCGCATAGCCGGTCATCTTGAAGAAATCGTACTACAAAGTTGCAACTTCCCAGCAAGCGATAGCAATGGTAGTGACCCCACACGTCGGTCGTGTACATCAGGCGGTGAAGAGCACTGAAACGGGGTAAATAAATAAAGTAGATGTACCTTTGGGAGCACCCCAGGGCTGCCTGACATGTCGTGGTTTGGGAACGACAAGATGTCGGTCGATGTGCTCATCCCTCGGTACTGTTTGCGCGTCGGGGGGGGGGCGAATCGAGGCAACGCGGGAGGACACCAACAAAAACGAACGGACAAAAAAAGGTGAGGGATGGAGGAGACGGCATCCGTGGATGACCGCGCCGCAGTTGGCGGTCGGCAAAGAGTGCTGCAATCGCCCGTGGTTGCTGCATGCTACAGAGGAAAGGCGCCCTATTATCATCGGGTGCAGCAGAAGCGGCTGCGAGTTAAGGTAGGGTCGGGACAAGGCGAAAGCAATCGCTCAAAATCCGAACTTATCTTGAACCGAACCGTAATGAAACAGTGGTACAAACTCATGGCCGGGAAAAGCCAGATGATCTTTCATGACCGTAGCCGCTACCGTACTGAGAGAGGAAAAGGATTATCATTCAAGAAACGATAAACGTGGTGACATCTCCAGGCCGGCAAAACATGGCACGTAGCCCCGGTTCGCCTACACGATAAGCCACGGTACAGAGTGCGATGCCGTCATCTTGCTCCCACACCTGACGGTTCAGCCGGAAGACCTCTTTATCCGTCGTCAGAACCGCCCCGACGTCCCAAGCCTGGCAACCGAGGACTTCCATGGTCTGCCTCATCTGAACCCCCCCCCCAAAATGAATCGTGTGCGGCGCCACATCGTTCGGAACGGCAACACATAGAGGCGAAAGTCAAAGCAAGCGGGGACAGGGGTGTGGGGGGGGGGTATTTTGGGGGG